TGGTGACTTGTTTTTATCTGATTTGTTTGTGTGTTAATATGTTTTGTTTTCTTGCCTGAATACAGAAGGATTCTTCTTCATTTTTACTCGAGGATTCAAACTTAGTTCTGGATGTGGCTTTGAATTGGTCTTGTTTAGAACATAATTTGATTCTTTATTTCTTAGTATATTCTTTTCAGATGTGTCATTGATGATTATTTTTATGTCAGTTTTTTACTTATAGTTCCTTAGAAACCAATATAATTAGATTATTATTTTCCTGACCCCTGGATCTATAGTCCTTTTTTTCTCTGTTGATCTCTTGGGATTGTTCACCACCTGTTTCATTGATTGGATTTCTTCTATGCATATCTTGTTTCAAATTAATTAATTTTTGTATTTAACGTTTCTATACAGTATATTTTGATCATGTTCTTTCCCCTCCCCCAGCTCTCCCCAGGGCTTCCCCACCAACACAGCTTCTTGTTCTTTCTATCCTCACCCCTTTCCTCATGTGTGGGTAGTAATTCCCAGCTCTGTCTTTAGAGTCTGCACAACTGTTCTTTGGTTTTCTTCATCTATAATCTCCTTTTAGTCCCGCTGCTCTTAAAAATTGATTTATACCTTTGTCTTTCTGTTTTTTTTTTTTTTTTAGAAATCTTGTCTTCTTCATCACATTAAGAATGTGAAATATTTTCTGGAAAATGACTTCTGATTTTTGTAGGAAGTCGTCTTGAAGAGTGTGCTGTGGTTATTTAGCATGCTGTTTGCTTGCTACACTCAGTCCCATTTGGTAGATTCATGCCGGTTATTTAGCTGTTATTGTTGTTGCTTAATTGTAAAAGATCTCTCCAGATCTGCTCAAGGAGAAGATGCTCTTGGTCCTATTCTCTGTCCCTTTGTTTCTTAGTAAAAATTCTCTTTGAAGTCTTTGATGAAGTAGTGGGTTAATATTTGTAGGCTTTTACATGTTTTCAGTGGACTGAGAGATTTTCAAAGAAATTAGCTATCTCCAATGCCTTGTTCACTGTTATGTATATATGCTATGGTAGCGCTCCAATTCCTGGCATGCAACACTTTCAAAAATCATCTTGTCTCAGAATCTTTATTGCATCTGAAACCACCAGGGTACAGAACACTTCCCTTTCTTTCTAGCTGTAAGAGGAAGTAGCAGTCACAAACTGATATAGTTGGGGGATTTTCCTGCTGCCCCCAAATGTATCATCAAGCCTAGGTTTCTGGGCAAGTTGGCCAACAGTGAGGTAACCCAGACCCAGAAAGATGAACATGGTATGTACTCACTCATAAATGGAAACTGGCTGTAAAGCAAAGAATATTGAGACTATAGCTCATGATCCTAGAGAAGCTAAGTAACAAGGTGAACCCTAAGAAAAACATACATAGATCCACCAGACAAGATCACCTGACTAAATTGGGAGCATGGGGGTCAGGGGAGAAGGAAGAGTGGAAGGGACAGAGGAGGGGAAAAGGGGGAGGGGGAGGAGAACTTGAGGGAACAGGATAATCAAGGTGGAAAAAGGACAGAGATGAGAGCAAGGAAAGAGATATATTGATTGAAGGAGCCATTATGGGGCTAGCAAGAAACTTGATACTAGAGAAATTCCCAGGAACCCACAAGGATGACCCCAACTAAGACCCTAAACAATAGTGGCGAGGGTGCCTGAACTAGCCTTGCCCTGTAGTCAGACTGATGAATATCTTAAATGCCACCATAGAACCTTCATCCAGCAACTGATGGAAACAGAGGCAGAGACCCTTAGTGGAGCACTGGGCTGAGCTCCCGAAGTTCAGTTGAAGAGTAGGAGGAGTGAGAATAAGAACAAAGAGGTCAAGACCATGATGGGGACACCCACTGAAACAGTTTACTTGAGCAAATGGGAGCTCACCAACTCCAGCTGGACAGGGAAGTGATCAGCAGAGGACCAAACTGGTCCCTCTGAATGTGGTTGACAGTTGCATGGCTGGGGCAGACAGTGAGCCACTGGCAGTGGCACCAGGATTTATCCCTACTGCTGGTACTGGCTTTTGGGAACCTGTTCTCTTTGGAGGGATACCTTGCTCAGCCAAGATAGAGTAGGGAGGGCCTTGGACCTTCCCCCAAAGCAATGTGCCTCACCCTCTCTGAGGAGTGGATGTGGGGTGGGGGTGGTATGTAAAATTAAAAAAAAAAGATAGTTTGTTTAAAAAAAAGTAAAGAAATTATTTTTAAAAAAAGAGTGTGGAAGGGGGGTACAAACAGAAAGATACTTTCCTACTTCTCTAAAGACCATAATTTGTTTAATGTTATCTCGATTTTCTTTTTTTATTTCTTTTCTTTCTTTTTTTTTTTGGTTTTTCGAGACAGGGTTTCTCTGTGGTTTTGGAGCCTGTCCTGGAACTAGCTCTTGTAGACCAGGCTGGTCTTGAACTCACAGAGATCTGCCTGCCTCTGCCTCCCAAGTGCTGGGATTAAAGGCGTGCGCCACCACCGCCCGGCTCTATTTCTCTATTACCTTAAAAAAAATTGTCTGTGTGTGGCGGTGGTCGTGCAAACACATGTTTGCGTTTAGGGGGTTGGAGCAGGGGACAAACTCAGGGATGCTGTCTCTTTGAGGTAGAGTTTCTCCTCAACTTGGAGCTGATGAATCAGACTAGATCAAACTAGACCATGAAGATCCAGACATCTCCGGTTTTCAGTTTTGTTGGGAGGTTTATTCCATTGCTTTTGCCTTCCCAGCACTGGGGTCACAAACACAGAACACCATGCCCAGATTTTTTTTCATGGGTTCTGGGTGTTAAGCACAGGTCCCCATAATTTTAGGCAAGTACTTTACTAACTGCGGTATCACTTTAAGCCCTCTAAAACCCCTTTTAAAATCTAATTTTATTCTCTTGCTGTTATAAGAATCCTTCCCTGCTCCTAGCAGGAGAATGGAAGTCATGTCTTCCTATTTGTGGTCGCTTTCCCATTATATGTTGTGTTCCTTATCTCCTCCGAGAGATATTCCGTTGAAAGTCTTGGGAACAATAAACAAGCTTGAAGCAATTATTTAAAACGGTAGCTTATATGAAACTCCATAGATAGAGTATTTTTTTTCATGTTGCAAAATGTTTGCAAATTTTGCTTCCTGCAGATATTTTGTGGAAATAAGAAGTCTGCCTTGTAAATATTCATTGCAACTTGTTATTCAAATAGGGTAGGCATCGGTGTTCCTGTAATAGAGCCCGTGTCTTAGGAAAACTGGGTCATGTTAGTGATAGAATAAAATGCAGACACATAAATGATGATAAGAATTCCAATGACTTCTATAAAATTTTTATTGTACATAAGCTGTCCGATCATTGCCTGCTAACAATGGTCAGAATTGAGACAGCTGTTATAAATCATTCGCTAGAGCAGTTGGAGATTTAGTTGTCTGCAGAGGCCAGAAAAACAAGCAAATTCTTGAGGTACACTGGCTCAGTGTAACAGGGAAAGAAAGGGACTAAAATACTTGTCTCTCTAAAGATGACAAAATCCTTGGATTACCATTATGGAATAAACTTATTCTTCCCTGAGGTAGAGCTGAGGTCAAGGGATATTAGCAGATTTGCCCCTAATGAAAAGATTCTGTGTTGTTCATCAAAGCTAACTAATCTGCAGGGTTCATTCAAGATAAAATGGGGGATTGTCTAACACTTATTTGGAATTCAATATGGTGATCGCAAAGCATTAGGTCAGGCTGAACATTGTGTAACTGAACATGGCCCATGTCAGTCTTGGTTTTAGGTTCTGATGTAGAATTTGTTCCCAAGATGGATAGAAACACAGAGGCAGACATTCATCCGTAGCCACCAAGGAAACTGGTTGTGGCTGTGGGTGAAGTCCCTTTGGGCTGTTCACACTGTGTGCGTGCGCCGTCCATTCTTACAGGAGGATGTCCACATGAAGCTTGAGTCTGTGCTTTTCATGTTTGTTGCGAGACTTTTTGAATTCGTCCTCCTCCTGTCGGTTTTTGTTGTTCCTTCCTGAATTCAGGTTTTTGTGAGTTACTTGTTGAAGACTTTCAACTCTGAAGTTCAAAGTTCTCTAAATGAGTTAGTTCTTCCTTAGATTTCAGAACATTGGAGAGTGGACCAGCCCAGAATGTCTCTCTCTGTGGAGTCTGGGGTATGCTTGTGTCTGTTGGTGGTCAAAGCCAGTTGTTAGCAGTTTCCTAGAAACTTAGCACTCTTCCTTCCCTGAATGCAATTCTTCCTTCTTTCAGACAATTTTATGTATCACTTTAATCATCTCCTATAATCTGTCACTTGCTTTACTTAAAATATTTTAGGTTCTTTGCAAACAGTTTGTCTTCCGATGGTATGAAGGTGTCTATTTCTTCTTGTATGTTCATCTACAAGCTCTCATCCAAGGTTCCACCAACCTAGTAACCTGATGAATACAGCTGAGTGAATCCCAGTTTTTAAAAGCATGGTATTCACATTCAGAGAGTACAAGGAAGGCCAGAGAGGTGGTTCGAGAAAAAAGGTGCTTACGGCACAAACTCAGCTGACTGAGTTTTGTCACTGGAGCCATACACACACACATAGTACACACATGACCAGAGATACAAACACATGTACACACATGTGTGCCCATGTGTGCCTGAACCTGCACACACACACTTTACTTTCTGCATGCAAGAAGTAAATTTGGGTGTTGAGTACTAGGGTAGGATGCTTTTTGTAAATAAAAACTTAATACCTTCATTTGATGAATCTCATCCCTCCATGTGGGTTCAATCAGAGAAAATTGAGAAGTTGGGAAGGAAGAAAGGCAGCTGGGCAAGTTTGATAACTTAGAGAAAGAAAGGTTGTGAATAATGGCTAATAATTATTTCCTAAAGCCATACACAGGGCTGTTCATGCTTGGCCAGTGACTTTCACCAAATCCATTCCTTGGTTTAAAGGGACAGAAAACTTAATAACTTTTTCCTCACATTTCGGGTATGCTGTGAAATATGTAAACTGATTGCCTTAATTTCTTTAATCTTCTACAGGTGGAGATTTTCCTTTTCCCTGTATGTATTTAGCTACGGAGTCCGGTTCTTGAAACAGGTAGGCACTGTCAAATTATTTCATATAATTCTTATGTGCCCATAGGTCTACATCTAATTTTTAATACATAACAATATTTTAAATACTTTAACAACTTTCCTAAGAATTACTTGAACATTTAAATTTGATTTATGAAAACGTTCACACAAGACTCATCTAGACATGTGTCTGAAATGCTCTGAAAAACTTTGTTTCTCGGTGAGGATGTGGCGTCTTCAGTGTGCTCTGTCTAGTGACTGCTTTTTTTTTTTTTTTTTTGCAGTAGAACTTGTAACATCAGTTGGTTCTGTGAAAGAGGCTAGCACTTCAGCGTTTGCCTGTCACATGATCTGAGAACTCTGGGGGCTGCAGTGGGTGCCATCACTGTAACCCCTCTGGTAGAGATTGTTCTTTTAGAGTCTTGCATATTACATAGCAGGGTGGCACCGACTGCTGGTGCTAACAGCTGCATGAACTAGTAGGACCCATTGATGTATGGAAATCCTTTGTTAGGCACAGTCTCCTTCTGCCTGATCTTCGCCACCCTTACTGGTGTTACTGATAAATCAGGGTGCTTACGTTCAAGACTCAAAAAGATCTGTCCTCTCGTGTTCTTGTCTGCGTTAACAATGGTAGCTTGGTATAAAATGGGAAGTTAATTTTAAAAGTACCTCATACTGTTAACCTCCAAAGTAGTATCAGTGGTTTTTTATTTTAATTATAGAAGATCTCTAAAATAGAATATAGGCCTAGTAGCATAAGTTCCTAGGAAAGCTTATAAATATTGATGTGACATTTTCAAATCGGTTTTGTTTTTTAAGTCTGAGTTATCAGCTACTGTCTGCTGATGGAATCGCTCCTATAAAAAGTGGTCCCTTCCCCCTGTTAAAGCCCCCTAGGATACTCTTTTCAATGCTTGCCATCTCCTCGGGTGACTGTGCTTGCTGGTTGGCTTCTTTTCACTTAATAAGAACGTACGGTCCGGGACCATCGGAGGAAATTTAGATGGATGAACTTCGCACTCACAGTGGAGAAGTCTGCAGCTGGAGTGAACAGGCGTGGCAGAAAACGCTTCGTCTGAACCCTTATATTCGTGTTCTCAGACTTAGCGAGGAAAGTGGAATGAGTATAGACATTTTATGCTTCCTCGGAGAAGATAGCTGTAGAGAGAGCTGGAGGTGCTGTGACAGATTCGCCCCTCATGGAATGTCAAGCTGCTGACAGTCCCACGGTTTGGGGGTTCAGGCTTGCTTCTGCGCTTGATGAGGTTTTGATGGTGTAGGGACGAGATGATGGGAGCCGGGACCACTCTTGTCCCCTCCTTTTGTTGGATAGTTTCCATTGTCCCCCACATGGTAAGTGTGGCCATCTGATACCAGAACAGGAAGCACTTTGACATAGATCTAATTCATTGTCGTTCATTCTGCCCCTACACAGACTGAATGGCCTGAGAATACCTTTTGTCCAGGCTGACCGGACCGAGAGTGGAAGGCCAATGGACCATGACAAGGCTGTAAAGAAACTTGTCAATAGAATGTTTGCTTGGGATCTTTTTTTTTCCTGAAACGTCACCATTTTAGACTAGTTTCCTTTCAGGGCATAACAAATGCTTTAAAGACGGCGAAAGACCAAGACATGCTCCGGCCGAGTAAACTTGTATTGAAGTTCTTTCTTTGGTGCTTTCTGAACAGCGTTCGTTCAGATGAACTGTTCAGTTTAGCTGCTATCGTGGGAGACAGAGTTGTGTGTTGAATCCATGTTGTCCAAATACCCTGTGCAGAACTGTGCAAATGCCTTGTCAACCCCCTATTTCATGGTCACGAAAGTACACATTCAGAGAAGGTCGGTAATGTTCTGAAAGTCACATTAAAGTGTGCTTACGGGGAACCTCAAATTCAGTGCCCACCACTGTGTCATACTCCTGGCCTCTCACTTTCCCTGGCTGCACAGTTCCCACACGACTTCTTCCTTTGGTCAAGTCAACTAAATTGACTAAACCAAGTCCTTATTCCAGTATAAATAACTTAAAAGCTTAAATATTTTAAATAGTTTTATGAACTTGGAAAAGACGGTATTATTTACTTGTCTCCAACCAAGAGGGAAACAAATGTGGATGCAACCGCAAAATTAAGATGAAAAGTTCATAATATTGTAAATATTTTAACATAGAGTCAATACATTTTACTAAAATAGCCCAAGTTCACCTTTGTGTTCAATTTTTTCCAGATAGTGTAGTAGGAAAATTCTCAGAATCACTGAGCAATGAACTAGTTTTCATTTCAGTATCAAAAGCTTGGACTATTCCCTGGCTTGTAGAAAAATGCTTGGCAATCTCCACTGTCTGTTTCCCTCCATCCTTCCTTAGATCAGACAGATCAGCTGTGGCTTATCTTCTAGGGAGACTGAGTCCTCTCCGGTCTAAAATTACAGACATCTAAGTAGACTGCTGTGTTCGGCTGTTGCTATGATGAGAAATGCCTAAATAGTTTGACGTAAGCCCAAGTCTGGCTGTTTCCTGATCTTTAGGTGCAGTCCATGGGTAGGTCCACTCACACGTGACTGGCAGGGACAAATGCCTTTGTAAAAGGAGGTTCTGAGTTACCTGGGCTGCCCCCAAAGTCCTGCAGCCAACTCACACAAATTGGCATGCTGTCTAGGGTCCTGAAATAAACCAAACCATTGCCCAGCGTGAGTATACATTTGTAATCCCATCACTGAGAAGGCTGAGGCAAGAGGATGGAGTGCTAATATCCTGTCTGTACTATTGGTTTTGTTTGTTTGGTTTGGATTTGGTCACTTTTAGATGAAAATTTCTATTTGGCTGAATATTAAAAATATTTTTAAAGTCCATGTCTTAAATATAACATCACAGGAATCACACACACACACACACACACACACACGCACATTTTACTAAGATACAGATAAAAAGAATTTCCTAGAATTTATAAGTTAGGCTAGTTTGTTTCTGGCTTGCAACCATTTAATGTCATTTTTATATCATGATCCGTTTTGTAAGCTTGCATGCATATAACTAAAAGAAAAACTGTTGAACAAATAACTATATCTAACTTCTGTATCAAAGCCTGATAAAAGACAGAAAACACAAGAAGTATGTTAGGAGTTACTGTTAATACTTAAAAACAACAACAATGATTGCTCATGGGGAACCACTGAGGCTGTGTAAATCAAAGCAGCTGAATGGCCAGCAACCAACGCCACCGCGCAATGAGAAGCTTGCAGCCTGGGTGTGAATCAACTCACTGCTCCTTTTTGAAGCCGTCTGCCTTTGCAAGCAGCGTAGCTAGTGATGCTAATTAGTGTATACACTGGTGTAAATACCTTTGCCGTTGTGAATCAATAGAGAACATCTCAAGGACTGGCCTTTCCTTAGTACTACCCTGGAGGTAGTGATGACAAGAAAGCACTAACACTCAGGATCAAGGAATTTGGGAAAGGAACTGAAAAGGACATGGAGCCCTGTAAACTTTCTAAGGAGGGGATGCTGGCTAGCTGGTGTCCCCGAGAGGAAAGCTGGCCCTGTTGTTTTCATGGGGTAAAGGTGTGTCACTGGCAAGATAGTAAAAACTGTAAGAAAAACAGAATAGACCAAATTCCATCTCCCCCTGCAGCTTCCCAGCGCCATAATGTTTCTGAGAGGTCAGACTGGGCAAGACTCTGGCACTGTGGAGCCAGCAGATGTGTGGTTTGCACAATGCAGCTCCGAGCTGAGAACAGTATCTGGGTAATGAGTCTAAACCTCCCGATGTTGCCCCTTTATGTCTTGTGCTCCGCTAATACACTGTATTTTATTATTATGGGGAATGTCTCAGTCAATAAAATGCTTGCCACATAAGTATGAGGACCTGAGTTTGGATCCTCAACTCCCATATAAAAATCTAGACATGTATGATGCTACACCCATGCAATCCCAGCACTGGAGAGGCAGAAGCGGTAGGATCCATGGAGCTTGCTGGTCAGCTAGCCTTGTCAAATCCGCAAGTTCCAGGTTCTTCCAAGTGGGAGACCTTGTCTTAAAATAAAAAAATGGAGGACAGAAGACACCTGACATTGGCCACCGCCCTCCACATACATATAGACATGTGTGCCGACGCACCTGCACACAGTCATGAGCATGAACACATGCCTACAGCACACACCAGCATACCTGCTGGCTACTCTCTATTATATCAACTTGATGACTAACCACTAAACCGTGCGGTTAAAAAGCACTCTTCCAGACTCTTCTTGTTGCCCATGCCCTTGAATTTCTTGAATCTGACTCGAACCATGGCCCTGCCTTTCGTGGTACATGTGGCCATAGCCTATGATGCTGGTCTAGTGTTTCCAGTTGTTATCTTTGCTGATTGGTCAACTTGGAATGCTTCTGAAATAGAATTGTCAGCTGCTTGTCTATGTGAAGGTGAAAATAAAATTCGACCAGTTATTAAAATATCCATTTACAAGTTTGTGTGTGCGTGTGTGTTATTTTTTTAAATTGTGAAATTGTTTGGATACAGTCACTTATTTAAGGAAATCTGAATTTTAACTTTACCTTTGACAAAGGCCCATTCTTTTTTTTTCTTTCTTTTTCTTTTTTTTTTTTTTTTTTTTTTTTTTCTTTTTTTTTTTTTTTTTTTTTTTTTTTTTTTGGTTTGTCGAGACAGGGTTTCTCTGTGGTTTTGGAGCCTGTCCTGGAACTAGCTCTTGTAGACCAGGCTGGTCTCGAACTCTTAGATATCCGCCTGCCTCTGCCTCCCAAGTGCTGGAATTAAAGGCGTGCGCCACCACCGCCCGGCTGACAATGGCCCATTCTGTGCTGTATCAGAAGCACACTTGGCAGGTTGGGTCGATAATGTCTTGGTGGTTAAAGTGCTTGCTGTACAAGTGTAAGGACCCGAGGAAAGCCAAGCACAGGACAGACAGAAAGCTAGACTCGGTATAGCATGGTCATTCTCCCAGTGCTGCTACTGGGCAATGGCAGGCAGAGACAGATGACTCCCTAGGGGCTCACAGGCAAG